CATGAACTTTGAACTGAACCTGAATGAACCTGAACTTTAAGTTCAGGTTCAGTTCAGGTTCATAAATTCAAAGTTCAATTCAGGTTCAGGTTCAAAGATCTGCAAAATTTGTGGTTCAGGTTTAGTTCAGGTTCATTGAACCTGAATTTGAACTGAACTGAACCTAGGAACCCTAATTGATAAGTTGGTTACTGTTTCAACTATTTCACCTGATATATTATTTAAATTTAACAAATCAAAAGCTGTTTTTATTTTAATACTGTGTAAAATTGCTCAAGTAACTTTTTTGCATATTCTAATTGATCTGGTGCCTATTGAAAAGTTTTAAACCATGGATCAAGTATAGATGCAATTAATACTACATCTGAAGATATAGCCCAAAGCTCATCTAAAGACAAAAAGATAGCTACACAAACTTTTTGTAACAAGCCATTTGGATTAACTGCAGACAAGTTTTTAACTATATTAAGTTCATTGGTTTGTATTATTTTTTTGCTTTTTTTTGGGTATTTTCTTTTTACTTCTAACTTTTTTTTTATCTCTTTCTCTTTTCATATACTGACAGGCCCCACCACTTGGTTATTATCATCATCACTGATTAAGCTAGAACTATTATCAGTACTATTATCAGATAATTTGCTATAAATTAAATCAAGATATAACTGTTTTGTTTCTTCTTGATTTGGCCATGGTGCAAAAGATTGCTTAAGTATTTTTATATATAGATAAATTATACTAAATGTTAGATAATTTGCTCCAGAAATACGATATGTAATTCTTTCAATAGAAGCCAGTATATTAATCATGTCTTGAAGAAATCTAAAATTTTTAATTTAATATTAAATAGTAAATTTTAAAAAGTTTTGTTTTATTAATGAATTATTGCTTTTGTAAAATAATACAACAATAACATTTTTAAATTATATAAATTCTGCATATTATCATTGTTAAAACAATAATAATATACAAGATTCTAAGAGCTTATATATATACAAGAATAATTATTAAAATTATGTATATTATTATTGTTTTAACAATAGTAATATGCAGAATTTATAAAATGCAAAATGTAATTGTTTATTTTTTTTGTAAAGAACAATAATAATAAAAATGTAACATAACTATATAGCAAAAAATAATGCTGAATAGAGTATACAACAAAGTAACGCTAGATAGAGTCTTGGTTAGAGAAGAATCTAATTACCAGAACTTTAAACTCATCAATAGGGAGACTGAGCTGAAGCAGCAAGTTACCTCACACTTTCAAAAACAGTTCCGAAAAAGAAATCAAAAGTTCGAGGAGATGAGCCAGAAGTGAAAAAATGAGTACATGCCGAAAAAGAATATAAGTTCATCTATATACGAACAAGTAATGAGCCCAATTAGTAAAGAAGAATGGATACAAGCTTTAGGCAAAACACAAAATGGCATAGCTCCTGGCATATCAGGTATTGGATACATATTACTCAAAAAGCTCTCTATAAAGATAACTGAGAGAATAATAAACTTTGCAAACCTTGTTCTGGAAGATAGAAATATTCCAGTAAAATGGAAACTAGGTCAGGTATACTTAATTCCAAAAGAAAGCTTTTGGGAATACAATCTGAGTAATACAAGACCAATAGTCCTATTAGAAACGTGCAGAAAAGTGATAACAAGAGTAATACAAGTAAGACTCGATAAGATGCTCAGCCAAAATAAAGTGTTAAAAGATGCAAACTTTGCAGAGCTCTCTGGAGAAAGTACATCAGCACCTATTTACATTATGAACAATATAATAGAAGAGGCAGTGGAAAAAAGAAAAGAGCTCTAAATCACTTTTCAAGATATGAAAAAAGCTTTTAACTTAGTTAGTATAATAGTACTTAAAAAAGCGTTAGAAAGAATCAAATTTCTACCAAAACTAGCAAACTTTATTACAAATCTTTATGATAAAAGAAAGCTCAGTTTTATAACAAACTTCGGTAATACCAAAGCTGCTGAAGCAGGAGATAGAATAGACCAGGAAAAGGTGCTATCTCCTTTGGTATAGAGAATTTTCTATGACCCTCTCCTTTGCAGAGTACAAGAAGCAAATCTAGGGTATGAGATGTTAAGCAGCAACCCAAAATTAGACAATCATTCAGCTATAGAAAAGCTGCGGATAGGAGTTTTAGTATATGCAGATGACACAACATGGGTAACTAGCAGTAAAGAAAATATGCAAAAAACAATTGATATATCAAACAAGTTCTACAAGCTGAATGATATTGAAATAAATCCAAACAAAACAAAACTTGTAGTTATAAAACCGAGTAAACGAAGAGATAACAAGGATCTTTATATCTGGGCAGGTAACCCAAAAGTGAAAATATTGGCAAAGAATCCAAAGGAGTCTACTCGTTTTCTAGAAGTATGGATATCAACTAAAAATCAAAAAAGATCGGATATGCTTAAAGCAAGAAAAGAAGTAGCCAAAATAACAGGTCTTCTTAAATTTAAAAAAATGTCTCTTAGTTAGATTATATACATAAACAATACTGTGCTGATACCGATTCTAGAGTATAAACTTATGATCTCATGTCTAACTAAAGCTCAATGTAATAGAATATATTAGCCTATAGTGTGTTTGACCAAATGGAAGCTATCAATGCCATCGACAGTAGCAAATATGATTCCAAAATACCCAGAAATAGTAAACCTCAAAAGTTTGTGGAATAGATATATAGAACATCATTTCTCAGAACTGTTAGTAAAAATAAATGCAGAAGGGCCTGTAAAAAAATCTACATTAATGAGATTAAAGCAAGGTCAATTAAAAATGAGCTCGTCTAAATATATTTTGACAAATCAAACACTACTAGAAAAACATGGAACTAAACTAAGAAACCTAGGTTTGCAGATTTTATAGCAAGCAAAGGCACTAGATTTTTTGATAGAAGAAAACGATTTCACAAAAAGCTAGAACTCCAAGCCTCCACTAGGAGTAAATGATCTTGAAATAGCTGAAATTCTAGAGAAAAGTGATCTTTTATATGAAGAGACAAATACAAGCAATTTGGGGTTTTTTATCTATTACAACTTATAGCGAAAGATGGCAAGTCAATGTATACTTGGCAACAAATTAAATGAATACAAAACATTGACAAAAGAGGAAAAAAAGCGAAATGGTTCAGTAACCTAGAAAGGGAAATGATTGTAAACCCACTTTTGAGAAAAGTTAAGCCAGAGTTCAGAATAGCACCATGTAATAGTAACAACCAGCTTAGTTATAAAAAAAGTTAAAAAAGACAAGAGAACAAAAGAGTAGATTATGTGGAAAGACAAAGAAAATACAACTGTTAGAGTTAGAAAAATTAGGGAAAAAGAAAACAAGTACATAGAGGTTGAAAATTATAGAGTCAGTAGAGCCAGGTCCAATTTCTAAGCAAAACTTTCTAGAGTATGATAGCAAACCAGAAACATCAATAGTTAAACGTAAAGAATTAAGAGATATTACGAACTTTGTACAAAAAACTGAGAGAGGAGCAAAATTGATCTTCAACATAGATACTCTCAAAAAGTCACTAAAGAAAAAGAGGAAAAAAATCTTGGTATTGCCGAAAGAGTTACAAGATATGAAAAAAAAGGATATACCGTTAATAGAAGTCAAAAGCTAGGAAAAATTATTAATAGACAAAGTAGTTATAGACAAAGAACTTAGAAATAGATTAGTAAAAATCTTAGAGCAAAACAGAGAATTAGATAGTCTTTTATTTTATACAGATGGCTCACTCGGAACGTCAGAAAGTGATCTCAAAATGCAAATGAGTTGCAGAATAATCCAAATAGCAGAGGAGGGCCAAATCATCTATCAAATAGCATGTGCAACTGAAAAGTGGTTTTCTTTGACCAGAGCTAAACTAGTAGCAATCCTTGTTGCTTTATTAATATTACCAAAAGAAAAAGAGGTTGAAATCAGAACAGATAGTAAAGCAGCAATCTTAGCAATCAAAAAAGGACTAGAATCAGATAAAGCAAGACAATGACTTAAAATTAAAATAGCAGTCTCATCACAACATTGACAGAAATAGTCTAGACAAAACAGCTGAAGCTGCATCTCACAAAAGTCAAAGGTCATTTAGGTAAATTCTTTAATAATCTGGCAGATCTCAAAGCCAGAGAAGGTGCAACTAGCTCAGAATTTTTGTCTTCAGTATTACTAAGCACAAAAGGATACAAGCTAAGATTGGAGTAGAAAAATGAACTAGTAGAAAAGCCACTGCGATCTTTTACCAAAATGTTTAGAAAAGTAATTAGTAGAGCAGAATAGACATTCGTACACAGTACTCAAAACACTACACACAAAGAAGGAAAGACTCATCAATGCTGGTCAATATTCTATAAACTCTTAAAAAGTGGAATTAAACAACAAAACTATACATTTGAATCAAACAACATTCAGCTCTTCGAATTAAAGTGTATAAACAACTTACTCCCAATCTTTAAGAGATTAAATCAGAGAAGACCAGACATTTATAAAACGAACAAATGTGTAGTGTACAAAAAGAAAACTGAGAATGTTGAACATCTAGTTAGTTACGAAGTCTTACTAGGTCTACTGTGTAATATAGAAGAACAAGAAGTAGAGACAATTCTTAAAAATTTCAAAAAAGAAGATGACGTAAGCAGGGACAAAGAAGGTATTCTTGCAATGCTAGGAAAAAGAACTACACTAGAAGAGATGAGAAGAAGAGAAAGATGGATCAGAGGCCTCATTACAAATAGTGATGTTGAAGAGCTCCGACTATTTTTCGACTCCAACAACCAAGCAAAAAAGTTTATAAACCATTTTTGAAAAAACTGGATAAAGAGAATACATGAGACGATATAGGTTCCCAAATGCAAACTCATACAGAAATAGGAGAAAAAAAATAGTATAGCATCCAAAGAAAAGAGGAATTGTATTACAAGAGCTAAGTGAGGAAGAAAAAAAAAAAAGAAGGATGGAGATGGGAAGAAAACCATATTTGACAAATCACTTAAACAGAAAAGTAAGAAAAAGGAAGAAATAGAAAGATGAGCCGCAATATTAGAAATAACAAGAAATGAAGTATTAAGTTGGATTTTAAGTGGTCAACATGCAGAGTGGTGGAAAATTAATTAGTAGTCTTGACAGGCTGTAAGAACCTTTTGTCGAAGTATTAATGAATCCAAGTGCAAGATGAGTTAATATAGAGGTAAAACTTACTATAGCAGGTCGCACATAGGTGTTCATTGAATAACCAGATGAGCTAATACTTGTAATTTAGGTGTCAAGAGGAATAACCTCTTGAAAAATTTTAATATTTCATAGTATAATATTATAAAGCCTAATAAAGTAGAGGCAAGACTGCCGAAAAGTTAAAAAAAAAATATAGCAAAAAATAAACTTATTAATTAATAAACTATAATAAATAATATTACTAATTTAAATCTCATAATACAGTATATACTATAAATAAAAAACTTACTGCTTTTCATCTAAAGAAAGACACATTTGTTTTAATTTTTCATCTTCTTTTTGACTTATTCAGGCAAAACTTAAAAGTAAAGAATTTGAAACATGACACATAGCATTATAAAGTTCATAAACATGTTTACAAGTATAAAATGTTGAATTCCATTGGGTTCTGGTATCATCCAAAATCTCTAATAAATTAATATTAGTTTTAGCAATTGAATTAAGTTCATTTTAAGCAAGTTGAAGTCATTCAGCTTGTTTTGGAAGCCTAAAAAAAGCCTGCAAATTTTTTATACATTGATGAAAATCTTTATATTGCTTAAGACCTTTTTGTACAGAGAGTTG